CTTGAACCAATTGAAAGCCTAGTTATTGTAGATTTTACCTGCATGTGCAAAAAACTATTTTTTTTTAACTGAATTTGTCAGATTACGTAAAAGAAGGTGCGGTACCAAAACTGAAATGAAATTTTCAGCATCGAGAAAATTTTTGAACGGTTGAAGATAAATATATGATCAATCGACGAAAAATGTACCTAAATAAGTGAGGAAGTTTTTGGGGAAAATAAATTGGCACTAGTGGTAACGGTTTCCGAAATACGATTTTTTTTGTGGAACGCCGATGCGCGCCGGTTGCTGCCGTTTCAACGGAGACCTACTCGGTCCGACCTATATACTTCAATAACTCGGTTATTCGATCACAACCTGTAGGAAATGGAAGAACTATTCAACTATTTATTCCGTTTTAATAATTGTTTCGTTAAAGTACGTAATGGATATGGACGAAATATAGGTAACCGCCTTCTCAAGAATATCGTCATGATTGCCGCTGGAATGGTAGAAAATACCTACACTACTTCACTATAATCAATTTCAATTTATTGACAACAAACTTTAGGTAAAATCTAGTTTGTTATTAATCAAGTCAACATTACATAATGTTAGCAATACAATGAACACAAATTTTTGACTTAAGGTTCTGTTTAAAAAAAAAACATACTTTTTAAATTATATGGTATAGGTACCTCAGCAAATACTTCTAAAATACTGCCTGTACTACACTTTTCCCATCACAATAAAGCTTGCACTAGAATATTTGCCATTATCCAATAATCCAATACTTGTCAAACCTACAGTACTATCAAATAATAATAGAGTCGGCCGATACCGACATATTTGTTCTGTCTCTCTATTACAAAGGTTATCCATTCAGGAATTATGGCTACACAAATTTGAAACATAATACCTGATGGATTTGAGTAACGAAATAGAATAGGGTCGTACAATGAAATTTCATTAGCACGGTTTTTCACATTTTCATGGAGTATTACTAACATATAGCACGTAGAAAAAATTTCAGCTTAATGGGATAAATATTGAAAGAGTTACGCGTTTTTTAATATCAAAACACTTTTGCCTCGGAAATTCATTGCTGTGACGTCATAGCATCTCTCGAGTCGAGACCAGCTAAAGGCCGTCACACACGGTTTTGCATAACGCAATGTCAACTGATTTTCTACTGACAGTTTGGCACACAGTTTGCGGAACTATGCAATATTTATAATTTTTCGTTTTGCATGCTACTTCCATAATAATTGTGCTCATAAAATATTGAAACTCAGGGAATTATTCAAATATACGAAATGTGATTCGAAAGAAAAACATCTAGTTCTACCAGAAACATGAAATGCCAAACTGAAACTTGTCTAAACGATGCTAAACCAAAACTTGTCAAAACAATGCCCGTATTGTCGAAGTGACTGGCGTACCAGCACCACAAGGACCAACGTGAAAGATGCGGTGACGTCACCGCGTATTTCAAATTTGGAGTATTTTGATAATTTATTTAAATATGAACAAGGGCTCAGAAAACTAAGAAATTTTGCATAACTGCTAAACTCAACACGCTCTTTTAGAATATGTAATAAAAAAAATATGCTGTACGAGCCTATATTAAAGACACTTGTAGATAACTTCACTACAATAATTTAATGAGTTTCGAAAACGCAGCTAGGTATTTTTTCAAATTTTTTTATGGTAAGCCATCATTTACAGGCGTTCCAAATAAACAATATATAAATCTGATATAAGGAATTTGCCACTCACAAAGGATGCATTTCATCAGCAAAATCAAATCAGCATGTGCCTACTATTAAGAAAGAACTGAAGAACTGCCTATGGAATAATTGTGTGGAAGAGTGCGATTTTAATAAATCCAGAAATTCCCAACCCAGTTAATTTTGGTTCTGAAAGATAATAAAATTAACCACAATAAGTATCCATACCGATGTAAGATTCGGAAATGGTGCTGCAAATGCAAACTCCAGATATGCACTAGAAATTAAACTGTAGTTGTTTAAAAGCAGGGCTGGATGGTATAAGAGGTTGCTATTCTGGAGGCGGGTTTTATTTAAATTAAAATTAAGTTTTAGTTACCTAATTAGGTTTTATAAAAATGTCTGTTTCTATAGAATAAATAAGTACTGTCGAAGTTGGGCCACGCTGGGGCCAGGGTACGGGCAACGCGTTCATTGAGATCAATGCGGCAGCGGCCGGCGCGTATCGCCGTTTCAAAAAAAAATCATATCTCGGAAACCGTTATCACTAGTCAAAATCTCTTTTCACCAAAAACTTCCTCACTCATTTAGGCACATTTTTCGTCGATTGATCATATATCTATCTTCAACCGTTCAAAAATTTTCTCGATGCTGAAATTTTCACTTCAGTTTTGGTACCGCACCTGCTTTTAAGTAATCTGACAAATTCAGTATAAAAAAAAATAGTTTTTTGCATATACAGTTGAACTTTACAATGACTAGGCTTTCATTTGGTGCAAGAATTTTGGAAAAATATTGAAAAATAGCGTCACAATCGTGAGTTAAACACAAAAAATAGTATTTTTCGGATAATTCAAAAAAGTCGGAAAATATTTTTTTATTCTTAATTGCAATTACGAATTAAATGGAGCCCTCCGGATTTGCATCCGCAAGGTCCTTCTCCATATTGTACATATTTTTTAAAACGTATATCCTCGAGTGCACAGTACGTGATCGAATTTCGGTGTGCTGATTCCCGACTATTAGTATGACTTCCCAGACACTGAATCACATTCTATCAAATTTGCAGTTGGTAAATATTTAAAAAAGAATTAGGCACTAGCTGACATCACACACATAACCTCACTTTCGATAGGGGGAGAAACAAAGCGTTCAAGGTTATCGTTTGTTTGTCTCAATGACATGTTTATCCCCCTATCGAAAGTTAGGTTATGTGATTTGTGACGTAATAGCTAGCGCCTAACTGATGTGTGTGAATAGTCTTTAAAACGCTTTGTTTGTCCCCCTATCGAAAATGAGAGTGTGTGACGTCAGCTAGTGCCTAATTATGTATTCGATATCATCTTGGTTGAATAAACTTGTTAACTTATTCAACTAATACACTGCAACAAAAACAAAAAAGCACCAGGAAAAAGAGAAATATCACGTTCGAAAATCTATCTCTAAATTGTGAGTTCTAGGAAAGTGGAATTGGAAAATACATTGAAAACTGCAAAAAACTCTTTTATTGGTTATTTTGAATGAGCTCCATTCATTAGCTGATTTCCTCTAATTAATATTTGTTTAAACGGTTGGCAGGCACAAAAATAGATCAGTTTTCATGGGAATGTGGTGGACTATAAACGTCGAGTTTGAAGAATAGCACTTTCAGACCAGGGGAGGAGTTTTTTGTACGGCAAAAAACTCAAGAGTCTGATAAAATTATTGATAAGTGCTTTTACACGCGTTGCACACTATCTGGCCTGACCGAGGCCTATTTCGACTTGAATACATTTTCAACTTTCAAGAGCCAAATTTTATTATTTCATTTTCGCGACTATTTTCCATTATGTTACGAACGCTGGAGTACGCTCAGAAAATTGGAAATCATAGTTAGGACATATCATCAATCAATCAATACCCAACAAACACAACTTATCGGCGCTGTAATGTTGCTGTATCACGAACACAGCCCAAATACAGCACATAAATAGTTTTATTAATGCTGCGCAGCACTTGCATTGGGAATACTGTATTTTAGAAGTGCAGTATTTGATATGCAGCGGCTTTGCAGATTTTGTATTGGAAAAGCGATAGATTATTTCGATCTCCCATGCGCATATTGATGCAACAACTGTTGTAAAATGTTAGTGCAGTTACTGTAAAGAAATGTGCCAATTTGCGCGAGCACAGTATTTTTGTTTTATTTTATTGTATTGTATTGTTCCACTGATGCAGGGCAGCGTTTTTGATTTATAATTTTTGTGGTGTTTTTCACGTGTCTTTTACCTGTGATTTGTATTACTACGTGTACAAGATGCATTAGCAACAAGAGGAAACAAGGTAGGTGAAAAATTGATACAAATAAACAAAAACAAAGGCCCCCGTATTATCATAACCTAAGTTTTCTATCGTTTTTCTATTTGCCCCCGTTTTCCGTTTTCTATTTTTGTGATTTAAAAAATGGATTTACAAAAGAGAAATAATCTTTCAGGTAAATAGTCTCGGAATACTAGGGGGCAAAAACACTGAAGAAGTATGTAGGAACATATTAGCCAGATTATTATCTAAATATTGAACTCCTCAGCTGAACTGGACAGGGCGCCTTCAAAAAGCACAATTTTCAGAATATACCTATATCATCAACATCAATAAAGCAATTTAGGTAAGTTGATGCAAGGTGAAACGGTTTTTAAATTTTAACTCAATTTTGTCTTTATTTAGTCGATGTAAGAAAAAATAGAGCCGTCAGAATGCGTCTCAATCAGAACCTGAAAAAGCCACCAAAATATGGTTAAGGAATAAGGAATATTATTGTTTAATGTCCCACCCCATTAATATATCCTATATACTTTAATTTGCTTTGTCATTTTTCAAAAATATCCTGTCTATATAAAATAAATTATGTCCAATAAATTTAGAGTGCCACAGGTAAATATACCTAAACGGTATATTAGCTGCTCCACAGTTATTGCGAAACAAATATGGACGACGTCTTCAAGAGCGCTGCGTTATTGCTGTGTTAAAATTGCATAATGAATAAGAGGCAGAGCTACTGCACAGTGGCTGTACTCAAATGCAGCATGAACAGTGCAGCGCCAGATGCAGGCCGGTGGGACATATATGATCCGGGCTGATGCAGCTGCTTCGTCTACATCGCTGTACAACAAGTACAGCACAGTATCACAGTTTTTGCGCAGCGGCTGACTTTCCGTGTTTGCTGGGTAATGATGGAATATTTTGATATTTCTCTCAAAAACATTTCAAAGTTTGCCCATGTAACGAGTGAAAATAACATGCCAAATCACTTACCGGTTCGTACACACTCTTCTGTTAGACACACTCTAGCTCTCGAATCTGAAACAAAAACAATATTTTTAGTTAGTGACTGCCAGTCGCGACCCTTTTCACCCTAGGGACTCGCAAAATTCGACAGACGAAGGATTAAGGAATAAATAATAAATATTCTTGCGGACCTTCGTATTTTTTTTTTGTCGCTCGTAATACTTATAATTGAAATTTTCGAAATTTCTAGACTTTTTCGTCAACCCATAAAATCTGCAGGAGAAAAATTAGGTACAAAAATGTACAGGTGACATTAGATTTGGTTGGAAACTTCTTTAGCCTCCATAAGGTTCATAACACAATATAAAGTTGAATAAAAATGAACTGTAATACCATAATCTCGATTATTCTTTGACTTTTTCGTCCACTATTTATATTCCGCCTTTGAGCGTTTCTATTCCTCTCTGACTTTCAGTTCTACAGTTTCTATTTCATGTCGAATATTCTGGAACCGTCCAGCGACCCCCTTAATATATTTCTTCTTTGTTCTCCTTTTTCAAGTCCTTTGTCTTCATGTTGTTTTGGAAAGTTCTCGAGTCGGTTTTGTTCTTGTTTTTTTTTCTGTCTTGTGTCTTGGACTTTTGAAACCGGTCCTATTCTTCTTGTTTTTCTTTCTTCCGTCTGTCTTTTTCGTCTTGGTTTTCATTCGGTCTTCTTATTCTTACAAAATTTTCTGGGGCCAGTCCTATTTTTCCTATTTTTGTTTCTGCTGGCTGTCTTCTCGGACTTGCAGAATTTTTTAGAGCGGTTCTGTCCTCCTTATTTTTCTTTCTGTCATCTGTCCTCCTTTCTTTTCATTATATCGCCTGTCTTTTTCTTCTTGTTTTTTTTTCCAAATTGAGCACATTCGGTCTTCTATCTAGACTGTCTTTGGTCTCGTTTCCACCATAGATGGAAATTTCTTCACTCACTTGTCCCACTTCTAACAAAAATTATTGTGTAAGCGAGTTCAGAAATAATAATTGAGTTAACTTCTGCAAACTTAAATAATTAAAAATAAGTAGAACCAATAGTAATAATTTTAATTTATTTCAGTTGTATTTTATTGTTTTCAAAATCAAAAACTAGTGGTGAGATGTCGTTTAGTTAAGTCACAATTAAAGAACTAGGAGAAATTGCTTCTAAAATAATGAAAGAAAACAATAGTAAACATTAAGTGATATTTCTTCAAGTCAAATGAAGGATAAGGTTAAACTGAGTTTTGTACTGTTCAAAATTAAATTGTGTTGGCTAAAATCTCAGTTAAAATATTCAACTTTTGTAAGCAGAACTTAGCTGATTGCAAACTTCTTATGCCCACGCCGTAACGTCCGTGACTACGATCTCGGTCTAGGACTGCTATCCAAAAAAATCAATAATTCCATTATTTTTTTATCTAGAAGTGATTCGATGAAACGATTAAAGTTATACGATAACGATTATTCAGTCAAATATCGTACGATTACGATTAATAAACGAAATATAACAAAAATTGCTATTTTTCTATAACATGCATAAAAAGTGACATTTTGCATTTTGTCGTGACAACGCAAAGATGACCTTTCCTGATTACCAATCGACAAAAACTTTGTCGCTCGTTGCTATGGGAAACAAGAGACAAAGTTGACTTTGCCGATTGATTGCAAATGAATACTTACTGGTTAAGTTCTGATTAAGGAACCATAGTATTTTTAAATTTTGTGGGCTGAGTCGATATTTTTCAGGAGTCTGGATTAGTCCTGCTGTAGAAGATAATAGTTCTGAATCTACAGAAGATGGCTTGTAGGATAAATATTTGAGGGCCAATTTCCAAATAATAACAATCGTATAATTGTAAAATCGTATAAAGATAATCGGCGATTACGGTTAATCGTGAAAACTTGATAATCGCAGGATCAATAATTCGCAGGGCTGGATTGCATTCCTTCAAGTCCAAACACCAGATTCGAGAATTCAGTGACCGAGTCAAGACGATCAATAAAAGTACGACATACGGATTTAAAGGCAATCTCTGTTATTGTATAACTATACTATACACCGTGATTGTCGTAGCCCGTCCATTAGAATTCAATTGGATTGCAGGTGGATTAATAGAGATAGCATGTAATCCACCCGCAGGCTGTTGCACGGGCTACGTAAATCACCCTGTATGTTCGAGATTCTTGATCGTTCTGTAAATCGCTAGAACATTCCATTAACAGTACATTCCCTTCTGGAAAATTCTCGTGAACATCGGATAAATGGATGTTGATCAATAAGGACGGATGTCAAGGGCTATATCTGCTATTTCAAGCCCTAGAGAGTTGAGACACAATATTTCGGTTGGTCACTGGCCATGCCTGTGGTAATATCCTATGCAATGTTGACAGATTGTGCACAATTTCCTCAGCTTGAGGAAAACCCATATTCGCAAATAACCGTGCGCCATCAATAAATCCATTTTGGTTCAACAGCAAAAAAAGGATCATCTTGCGATTAGGGCAAAATATGTTTCTGGCTTTCAGACAATTACTAATTATTCTTTTCTGCGTGCTCAGCTTTTTCGGATCGGAGTGACTATGTTCCTACCTTTAGGCTTATTTTTTATGTCATCATCATAGGCGATCACTCGATACCGAGTATGATTATCTTCTATTCTATTATTATTGTTGTCAATTGTGCGTTTACTGACGGCTATATAAACCAATTCTGGAGCCGCACACTCTTCCACAGTCTTGACATACCCATTTTGTCGCAGCGTTGTCTCTTCCTCTATTCCCTTCCTCCTTCCTGGGTCCTTATTCTTGAAAGGGAGCAGCGTTCCCAGGAGAACGAATGTTCCGTCTTTGTTACCTATAGTATCAGTTACATATCATTGAAAAAGGCAGAACCCTAGTTTTCCCGGGAACGCTGCTCCCCTGTTTCAAGAATAAGGACCCTGCGGCCTCTCTTTTCGGTCTCGTGTCTGCCTCGGTGTTCTTCAAAAGTTTGTGGAGCGTCGTAGACTACGCTATGAGGGCCTATCATTTGCCGTCGTTTCCCAGTTGCTGGTATCGATGCGGCACGTCATATTTTCCTTTAGAACATCTTTGTTGACCTCCTTGATTTCGTTTTCCCTTTTTTCAGTTGCCTCTATAGAATCTGTCGTCGAAGACGTGTTTTGGTCTCTCCAAAAACACTAATGTTTGTTCGTCGGCCTTGCCATATAATCCGAAGGATCCTCCTTAGGCACCGCTGGTGGTAGTTTTCTAGGCTTTTCATAGTTTTCATGTGTCTACTGTACACTGTACGTGGTCCATGTTTCGCAGCCATATGTAAGTGTTGGTATTACAACTACATTACGCGAAGTTTGGTTTCAGCGCTGATATCGTGATTATTAAAGACTCTCTCTAGAAGTCGCGCTAGTACACTTCAAGCGATGTTGAATGTCAGCGTCAATGGTTGCATTCGCTGACAGATGGCACACAAGGCATACCTGTCACAACCCATAGATAGTAGACACTTCAAGCAGGTCCTGAATTTCAAACGTATCCATATTCGCATCGATCTGCGCATGCGCAGAATAGATACGGAGGTTTCGTTGCGTTGGGTTATCCGTATTAGACACTCTAAGCAGGTCCTGAATTCCAAACGTATCCGTATCCGCATCGATCTGCGCATGTGCTGAATAGATACGATGGTGGCGAGGCCCGTAACGATACGCACAACGCAACGCAACGAAACCACCGTATCTGTTCAGCGCATGCGCAGATCGATGCGGATACGGATACGTTTGGAATTCAGAACCTGCTTAAAGTGTCTAATACGGACAACGCAACGCAACGAAACCTCCGTATCTATTCTGCGCATGCGCAGATCGATGCGGATATGGATACGTTTGAAATTCAGGACCTGCTTAAAGTGTCTAGTGACAATGACGTTATCATCCGCATATTGGAGTTCAATTATCGATGTCGTCGATACGCCGCCATCAAGTCTGCATCCTCTTCTGACGGCAGGTGGCCCGACAAGGTGAAGTATGAATCCTACAAATTGAGAGAAAGTGGGTGCAATCCTTGTGCAATCACACAGTTCTGTTTAACGCATGTAGTTATTTGAAAAGATTCTCTTTATATGTATATCGTTGCTAAGGACGGTTGCATTCATATTATCATGCAGCAGGCGGAGAATCTGGATGTACTTTCGCGGACACCCAACCTTTGCCAATGTCTTCCAAAGAGCTTCTCTGTTGACCAAATCAAATGCTTTCACTAAATTTATGAAGGCCATATATACAGGGCGAGTTTGCTCCCTGGATTTATCTTGCATTTGTCTTGCACTGAAAATCATGTCAGCTGTACCTTGGTTGGGTCTAAAGCCACACTGTGTCTCTGGGAGGTTCTCTTTGGCAGTTTGGATTAAACGATTTGATATCCTGGCAAGTATGTTTCCTTGTCTCCCTTTTCAAAAATGGTAACTATGGAGGCATCTCTAAGTTCGGCAGGTATGATCTTAATAATCCATATTTTCTATGTATAAAAACTTTGAAGTCTTACATTTGAGATGAAAACCTATCCTAGTGGGTTATTTCAAATATCCCACCTGGATAGATTATTATTATTAGGCACATATTAACTGAGCACTTTATCATAATTATTTGTACATTTTACATTACGACAATACCATAGTGCAATACATATTAATGTAAAATCAATATTTCAAAATGAGTCCGGACGTACAAGAAAATCCTCCTCCCTTCTAACTTCCAAACCGCAACTGGTCGCTGGAAACTTGTCATTTTACGTCAAGAACATGCGGAATTATTGAAGGCCATCGATTTTCAATGGCATTTCATGCATGACGTTTGTTTCGTTCAAATGGACAGTGAATTCATCCTGCATTTTTATTGAGATTTTTGAGAACTTATTTCACTATAGTAATAGAATCCTTTGAAAGCTTCTACGTAATAGCTCATCAAAAATGCAAACGAAATGATTTTTTTTTCAACCCATCCTGGTTTCTAGTATGTTTGATGTTTGTCTTTCAAAATATCGTCTAGGCAGTCATATCATATT